TAGCACATGTCGACATGTTATTGATAGAACCGGTTCGTTCAAGTGTAGCCTGCCAGTGGGAAGTTTAATACACTGGCCATGACCTATAGTGGAGATGTCTATTTCGTTCCCGTATTGTACCCATTTTTTCTGTGATTGCACTTGTTGGCATGCTATAAGTTTAATAAGGGGCACTCCATATTTTACTTACTGAGTTTATCTCATAGTTTTCCCTTGTCCACCATTTCAAGTAGTATGACCCAAGACACGGAAATCAAGGGGAGTGACAAGCTAATTGGCTAGCTATTGCATTTGGACATAGATTTATCGAATATATCATCATCTTTGGAAGATAGATTGTACTTTGAATTTATGGTATTAAAACATATTTTGCGAGAATAGGTTTTGGGATTTGAATAAGTTCCGAACCTTGTGCATTTGTGGGACCCGTCTCACGAGTGCACGGCGTCTGTCGCGCCTCGGATTTGGGTTCTGGGGCATGACAGATTTAGTGGTATCAGAGCTTAGGTTTAATTAAGATTTTGTGATGTCAGAGTCTAGGTTTAATTAAATACTTAGGATTTGTTTTGGACTTGGCTAGCCAATGGATCTTAGAACCGTGGTGAGACGAGTGATGGGGTTATACAAGGGACAAGTTTGATTGTAAATGTTGGCGAAATTGATCTAGTTCTGGAACTTTTAGTTTGGATGATAAACTGAGATGATAATGATAAATCAGGAATTTGTGTTTGGGGATTTTAAATGCTCCGTTGATAAAAGTTCTTGCAAAATTGATTGACTTAGTTTTATGGTTCCTTGTGTCAATGTATCTTCTGATGAGGTATTGTGCTTAGGCTCAAATCTGTTTTGCGTTTAGGCTTACCGTTTTGGGTGTGTGACGAAGAGGGACTCTAAGCTTTTCAGCTCCTCCCCTCTTCTTCCACTCCGGAAATCATTTCCAATTCTTGATGCTTTTTGTTCTCTAAATCTCCAGTTCCCTTCAGTTTTTGGAGTGGTTGATGATTTTAGTGTCTGTGTGAATCTGCTTGTAAGCTTTTGTTTCAGACTTAAAACAAGTTATCTTGCATTCGTAACGGTAATTAATTTGGTTCAATATATCTGTTTGATACTTGATGATTTTTGAGTGGATAACTTGATTTGCCTGTGTAATGAACTTAGATGTGAAGCGACAATGATCAATCAGGAATTTCCGTGTTCTGACGAAAATCCTTATGGGATTTGAGTCTATATGTTATGTGTGTCCATGTCATGCTAGTGTCCAGGCTGTGGTTGATACTACTTAGTTTCTGTACATATCCAAATGCTCTTGCAGGAAAGGAGATAGTGTTTCACACATGAGTGAAATTTTTCCTGCTAAATAGTCTACCCAATATTTTTGCCTAGACTTGCTTCTAGATGTTCATACCTAAAATTGCTGTTTTTGAGCTCATTTTTGCGTTGTTCTAGGTGTGTTTAAGGCTGATTGTTCCCTTGTTTTGGTCTTAAATTGTCATGGAATTTATACTAAACTCTGGTTTGGAACTACCCGAATTTCTGAAAATTTCCAGCTCAATCTATATGTGAATTGATTTGAATTCTGGCAGCCTGACCTTGGAGTAGTATTATGTACATAACTTCTTCTGTAGATGTTGGATTAAAGCCATTCCTGGTTTTATAGAAAGCTAAGAGATAGAGTGTTAATTTTCCGGTTAAGCATTCAAACCAGTTATACCATTTTCAAGGAGAAAATTTTGTTGTAACCTTTGTGTTTAGAATCTGACCAGTATTTTGCCCTTTTATTCAGCTGTTTTCTAGTCTGTTTTAGGCTAAGTTCAAGTGCGTTTGAGTTGCTATTTTAGCTGTCAGGTGCTCCACCATTTTGCATGGATAAGATTAAAATTGGGTGCTAAAATTTGTCACAGCTGCTTCATCAATTTCTTTCTTTGTCTGCCACCTATAAGTTGTGATTGGGAGTGTCTCTGCACGCTAAACTCTAGTAAGAAGTTACAGCAGCATGAAGTCCTCTCTTGGACTTAAAATGTGATGAATTACATTTTGATTTATTGATGCCAAACTTAAGAAAAATAGCAGCCTTGTTACCTTTTGAAATTAACTACAAAATTCTGCTCGTCACAGTTGGTTAGGTCTTTAGGCAAAATGTAATTGTTGTTCCATATCAGTTTCTAGCTATACCTTGCTGATTTTCAAGGTAAATTATGTTGCCTGTATTTCTTGATTCACTTTGATGAGATAGTAAATCAGTTAGTTCCTGTTATCTGCTGTTGGTGAGAATTTTTGAAATTAATCTTTACTGACTATGCCCTTAAGACCTTGTTTGAAACTTGGTCCCTTGTGATAGTATGCTTGGTTTTGGTTGTGGCAGGATGTATAAGGCCTTCCACATTAGGTCTGTTTGTTTGAGTATCCATTTGGGCATTCATATATGAATGCAAACATAGACATACATGAGCATATACATGCATACATGCATGCACACATGAGCATTCATGCATGCACACATG